GACAATAAATATCAGCAATACTTAATAAAACATAAGAAACAGAAAGGCTATATTCAAAGCTTTTGTTTTTACTATCAAATAACATAAGATGTAAATTTCTAAATCAAGAACTTAAAGAAGTAACAAGAAAAGTAATTGAAGTAGAAAATTATTTCAAAAATTATTTGAAAATAATGAATTAAAATATGGTATGAATTAGAAAATACTATAAGAAATAATGTTTGTAAAAGAAAACTCAATCTAAGAAAAATGTTAAATAAAACCAAGAAATGAAAAGTAAGATGTTACAGATTCAGGACAATTTTAAAGAATAAAAATAAAAATATATACATATATAAATGTTTGAGATCAATGTTAGAAAACCTGGAAGAAATGGGTAACTTTTCAAAGATATAGTATGTAAATGATTTTTAAAAACAACTCTTGGGAAATGTAAAAAATTGAATAAATCTGTAGTGATGAAATAAGTAACAAACACATCAACAAGTTACTTCTCCAGTCTCAGATATCTTTATGACCTATTCCAGATATAGGAAAAAAAGTGAAAGCTGTACATTTCATCTTATGAAGCTATCATAATTTTGCTAATAAAACCAAACAAAAAGCAACAGCCATTGGCACAACCTCAGGTACATCCATGCCATGATCTTAAATAAAAAAAAAAAAAAAAAAAGACTGAATGCAACAACTTGGGGAAATCTTAAGGAATGTTAAGGAATTGTGCTGGAGTGAAAAAAGCCAATCTCAGAGGATTACATATTACATGATTCCATTTATATAATATTCTTGAAATGATAAAATCACAGAAATGAAGAACAGATTAGTAGTTGGCTGGGTCAGGAGTGAGAAGGGGATGAATATAATTACAAAAGGAAAATGTGAAGGATCCGTGTATTAATGAAACTTCTGTATCTTGAATGTGGAAGTGGATACATGAATTTGCACAGGTGATAAAATTGAATAGAACTAAATACACACAATTACACATAAAAGTAGGGAACTTGGGAATTTAAAAAAAACTATGGGCAAAACTCACTTGACTTCYAAAAAACACTTATTTAAAAATGAAATGTTTGGAATTGGTGATGTGCTCAGTGGTGGAATGAATGTTTAACACTCAGGACCCTGTATTTGATCCCTACCACTAAAAAAAGAAATGTYAAATTAGACATGTATTTAAAGAATGATCCACCACAATTAAATAGATTTTTCTCCCAAAGATGTAAGGGACATTTACTATTAGCAAACCTGTGATCACTAGAATCTTTTTTAAAAAAAATTTTTTTAGTTGTAGATAGACACAATACCTTTATTTTATTTATTTATTTATTTTTATGTGGTGCTGAGGCTTGAACTCTGTGCCCCACATGTGCTGACAAGCGCTCTACCACTGAGCCACAAAGCCAGCCCCTATCACTAGTATCTTAACCAATAGTTTATAAGGTGTTGAAGAATTTCAGTTGAAAATTTTAAGAAATGTTAAACAGTACTTAATAAAAATCAAATACATATTTATGTATTTTTTAATTTAAAATTTTTTAGTTATATATGGACACAATACATTTATTTTATTTATTTATCTTTATGTAGTGCTGAGGATGGAACCCAGTGCCTCACACATGCCAGGYGAGCACTCTACCACTGAGACACAATCCCAGCCCTCATATTTATATTTTAAAAATAAAAAAGCATTTGAATAAAAAGGCAATTCCAAAATATGAGATGTTATCACCAATATTACAAGAAAAGAGTTAAAAATTTAAAAGTCCTTTTGAAGGAGACAAAATTATCATTTGCGAATGAAAATCAAAGAGGATGTACTTAAAACATGGGATGTAGCAGTTTATGGGGCTTAGTAAAAAGGTCATCCTACTATGAATGTGTGTTACTCAGCTTTGTATTACTGTGACAAAATACCTGAAATGATCAATTTATAAGTAGGAAAGATGTATTTTGACTCACAGTTTCAGAAGTGTCACCTATGGTCACTTGACCCTGTTGCTTTGGGCCAGTGGCAGCACATCACGACATGAATGCATGGAAGAGAAGGCCCATTGACCTCATGGTAACCAGAAAACAAGAAGACAGACCAGAAGAGACTGAGGTCTCAATATCCCCTTCAAGGTCATCTCCCTAATAATCTAACTTTCTTCCACTAATCTCTACTTCCTAAAGGTTTACCACCACCCAACAGCACTATCAACTGTGAACCAAACCTTCAACACACAGGCCTCTGGGGAACATTTAAAGCTGCAAAATTTAATAGAATTCGAATGTGTTTTCATGGTCTAATAAAGACTTTCTTAAAACAATGGACGTCATCATATTTTGCAATTGGACCTTCATTGTTTTCCCTCCTCTTATTTAACATTGTTTTGGAAGTTCTCACCAACATTACAAAAAAGGAGATAAAAATTAAGAAGCCCTTGTAAAGGAGTCAGAGTCATCATTATTTGCAAGTGAAAATCAAAGGGAATATACTTGAAAAGTAGCTTACTTGATAGCAGCACTTAAYATTAAGCAAAGTTGACACAATGACTATATAAAAAAATGAGTTTTCACCAAAAACTTTTGGCTTTGGGAGATTCTAAACAAAGTCTCAATTGAACTACTTTGTAACTTAATAAAATTAATATCAGTTCATCTGGAAAAWTTTAAATAATTAGACAGGAATACTTTAAAAATCTTGAAAAAGAGGAAGAGGAAGCTTACCCTACAGACATTGGTTGGAATAATGTGATGCCAGTGAAAAATTCACAGATCATTGGAACAGAAAAAAAATATTCCTGAAACAGTAGTATTAAAAAAAACTYATATGTAGTGAAATAATAGGGAATAGATGATTTGGGAAAATGGGCTCTTTGAGAAAATAATAAAATTAAAATCTCACATAATATCAAATAAGTTTAAGAAAGATGAAAGATTTGATATTAACAATTAACTCAAATTTTTAAAAAGCAAGAATAATGCATTTAAACATTTACCTCTCCTCCAGAGGAGCAATGATTTACATACTTTAATGCATGGGAATATAGAAATTTTTGTGTATTAGAAAACAAAACAAATGTGAAAGCTAAGTGTAACTAAGCACACATTTAAATAAATAAGAAAATTTTAACATCCCATTACCAAGAGCAAAAAGGGAACAGACATATCAGACTCTCTCTAATGAAGTTGACCAAAATATATGTGTAAAACATTTTCTTCTATCAATTCCATAGTAAATTCTAATTCATGATTATTTAYCATTTAACTTTCTTAAGAGTTCTTTCAAAATTACTCAGCATTTGTGAGAATATTATAAAAACATGATAAATGTACTATGGAAAGAGGATATACCTGTACTGCTATCACAAAGATAGCTTTTTATTATAGATCAATAATTTTAAATACTTTTCTAACTTTTAGCTCAATAATCAATTCAATTTTTTAGTAATTATACTAAAAAATTACCACATATTCATAAATATAAAGAAACTAATTTATAAACATCTATGTATTTACTTAAATAATRAAGTCTACTTTTAATAGTTATTAATTTAGCTTTTACTTGTATGTTTAAATTTTTATGTTATCTAAACATGKTGATATGCTTGGGGCTTTTTCAACTCACATTTTTGTCTTTTTCAAATTCTTTACTTGTATTTTTGACAATCACTATCATCACTTTTTTAAAAATCACCCCAATAGTGATTTTATTAAGTTAGTTACTTTATAAAATGTTGCAGGGGTCATAATTGTTAACAGCTTTCTCAAACTGGTTAACTGGTACACTTTGCATCAGTGTTTTATATAACATTACATTCTTCCCCATATTTTTATTGGTGCATTTAGTTGTACTTAATGGTGAGATTTGTTGYTACACATTCATACATGCACACAATATAACAATATAATTTGGCCAATATTATTCCCAGTCTTTCTTAGGCTAATGGTTTTTTGAAGCTTTCCAGTTAGACATGTAGCCTTCTCCAAATCTGTATGAGATGCTATCTTGGCAAATTTTATTGCAAGTTACAAATATTGATATATAACATTAGAAGAGTTGTTATTTACCTTTGTCCTGGGGTGGAGAATTTTTTTTAATCTTCATAACAAAACAACTTCCTGGATAAGTTTTTATAGAACTCTTTAAAAGGCTATTTATAATGACAGCTAACACTTGATATTTATAACTTCATACTTGCCAGATGACTTTCTAAATTTATGTAAAATTTCTTTGCCTACTTTTGTTAGGTGACATCCAAAAATATCTATAATTAGCATTGATTGAGGTCAGGTAAGGTTCATCTATCTTCACCAAACATTATATCTTGTTCAGAAGAGAGTAATTCAGAGATGGTCCTATAGAACAAAAGATGTCTTTTTWWAAAAAAWTTAATAACTATCTTTTTTAAGAGAGGMAATTTTTAAAGAATAACTTTTACCATATATAGGAACATATACAGGTATCATATATACCACAAGGATTTAGGAACAAGAGTGTTGAAGCATTATTTTAAAACAGTTTTTTTTTTAAGTCAAATATCCAGTTACTGAAATTAATTATTAATTGTTATACATCCATTGCACTTACTACCATAAACTCATTAAAATTCTGTGTTAGAAGGATATTTAATAACTTAGGGAAATGATCATGAAATAATAATTGAAAAAATTCTTATAACAAAATTGTACCTTCAGTTGTGGAGAAAATATATAGAGATTTGCATATGTGCACGGGAAAAGACTAGGGGGAAATCACCAAAATGATTCCGTGATTATTTTTAGGTTGTAACATTAGGGATGATTTGGGTTATCTTCATTCAAGTAATGAGCAAATGCATAATGCTCCTGTCCCCATCTAGCTAGATGAGTTTGGAGTAGACTTTTTTAAATGTGGTGGCGGGAGTGGGRGACAGGAATAAGCATGATTCCTGAGCCCTGTAACGTTTCTTTACCTTACCAACTCCAATTGGCCTGCTCTCACAGTATGCTTTGCTTCACCTGTCTGTCTGCAGTCTTTTTTTGTGGACCACAACAGTCGAGCTACCACTTTCATTGACCCCCGAATCCCTCTTCAGAATGGTCGTCTTCCCAATCATCTGACTCATCGACAGCACCTCCAGAGGCTCCGAAGTTACAGCGCTGGAGAGGTAATGAACCCCATATCACCAGCACCACCCCAGTCCTACTGCACACCATTCACAGTCTCTAATCTGGTGAGGCCAGCACTATTTCTTAGTGACCAGGATCTATGGTTATCTGCTCCATGGAAATGAAGTCATGTGTATACTATGCTCTAGAAAAATGAATGACCACTGTGGTGGACCCACTTATCTCTCTACATTTGTCTTCAGATTGCCTTCCTTCTGCCTTCCTATTTGTGCAAATCACCACTACTAAAAATTGATGTAGTTTAAGGAAACTGAAAATGCAGTAAGGAGATCCCACATTTCTGCCTGGAGCTGCCCCTGCTGAGGCCTGCCAATCACCTGTGAATAGTGAGGAGACTATGGAATTGCTATRCAGTGTATGACTGGCTTTAAACGTCTACCTCCATACCTCCATTTAAGATCCTGGAGAAGACTTCAGGAAAATGTATACATTGACTAAAAATTGGGGGGAAATTAGTAGGCCCCAGGAATACTCTATTCCCATCCTACCATAGCTGTTCCCTGGTTTTGTATCTTCTGTCACTAGCTATAGTTACCTTCGGCTGGACCATGAAGGGGTGTCATCTCTCTCTCACTTTCATTGCCTTTCTGACTTAGTCTCTATATCCCCTATCCCTCCCTTTCCCCTGTTCTTAAGGCAAAAACTCAAAATATAGCTCTTTTATACTTCCAATCAGTTCCTGATAGTATTATGAGCAAATCACTTTTTTTAATCCCCCCCCCTCAAATCTGGGCCCTCTTTTCACAGAAACCACCAGGATCTCAGAAGATAGGGGATCTGAGAACAATTTCCCATAAAATAGCTTGTAGAATTGGATTACAATGAAGTGGGGGAAAGGGGTGTAGGGAAGAAAGGAATATGTATTTCTTCCCCACAGAAAGTGTTTCCAGAGAGGGCCGCAGGGCTGTCTCAGGAAAATCTGGGAAGATGGCAATCTGCCTGGCAGCCATTCCCCCTAGATAGCAAACCTAAGTCTCAAAGGAGGAAGGAGCCTGTCATTGATGTATGGAACTGATGATGTACTACTTTCTCAGGAGTAGTCCTCTGTGTAGTCTGAGAGATGTAACTATTTCCACACAAGAGCACTTACGACTTCATGCCGAAATGGGTGACAAAATAAATTTTTCTTTCATGGGTTCACCTTAGGTGCTATTGTTTTAAAATCCTGCCGAAGCATGTTATATCTTTCCTTCTGTATATACATGTGAATGTGGCCATGCAGAGAGGAGTATTATAAATCCCTGAGCATTGCATGGGTACCAGGCCCCTCTAGGTGAAGATGTTTTTATAGACTAGAGAAAGCAATGCCCCAGTGTCTCAACACATCATGCATAGTTCCCCTCCATACTGGCACTTTTATAACACTTCAGGAAGAAACTGTGTTTTAGTCATCTTGTACTTCAGAAAGTACTTCTAGAAATTATACAAGAATAAATTCTAAATTCCACATCAAYTCAAAATATGCTATTTTACTTTATTTAAAATGTCCAAGCTCCTTAATATCACTRAGGAAATTTCAGTATTAATATAACTATAAGTTATAAGGAAGCTAYGCACCAGAGACATATTTATTGCCAATAAAACAAAAATATCAATTACCTAATGCAAGTATCAATTACCTAATAAATAAAATTCATACACATTTGAAGATATGGATCTCTTCCAATTATAAGAAATTCACCTGAAAACATAAATATTAAAAACTTTTCTAATAAAAAGAACAAGATTGAGACCAGGGGTACAACTTGCATTACCTGTTAAATAGCCCAAATATAGTTTATTTAATACCAAAATTCACAGCAAAGTGCCATCTGCATCAGTCAAGAACTAGCTGAAAGACTAATGCATGGCAATGAGAGAACGTGAATGTGCATCAGCCATCTGTGTACTTCCTAATGTATCCACTCCCAAAATTGGATGTACTGATTCTGCCAATTTTCAACCTAATCCCACYCTCTGCCCTGCTCTTTCTTCAGGTAGCTTCAAACTGGCACCTAGGAAACTAAAAAAAAAATAACAGGGAGAGGTTGCGTTTTAATCATCTTTTTCACCGATGTGACTAAAAGATCTGAACAGAACAATTTTAGGGGAGGAAAAGTTTTTTTGAGGGATTACAGTTTCAAAGTCCTTAGTCCATAAATAGTTAGCTTCTATTCCTTGGGACTTGAGATGAGGCAGAACATCAAGGCAGAAGAGTGTGGTGGTGGGAAGCAACTCACATGATGATAAGGAAGTAAAGAAAGAGAGAGACTCTAATCTCCAGATACAAAATATATACCTCGAAGCCACTTCCCCCAGGGCTCACTTCCTCCAGCCACACTCTAGACACCTTCAGTTCCACTCAGTGAATCCCTATCAGGGGATTAATTCACTGATTGGGTTAAGACTCTCACAACCTAATCATCTCTCCTCTAAACCTTCTTGCATTGTCTCACATTTGAGCTTTTGGGGGAGACTTCAGATCCAAACCATAAGAGAAACCAGAAAACAAAGACCCAGTCTCTAAGGAAGCAAATATCTGGTTGCTTCTACTGGAAAAGTGTAGGGAATGAGGAGATAGTAAGGACTATTGTATAAATACAGAGGAGGGATGCAATGGAAGATATTGACTGTGTTTGTTATAATGTGGTTTTGCTCAACAAATATTGATTTAGTATATGGCTTGCTATGAGCATTGTGGAATATAAAGAAGTATGAGACAATCACTCTCCTGGAAAAGTTTTTATTCTATTTTTGAAGTCAGGCCAAAACTTCACAGAGAATTAAGTAATGGGAGAATCAGAATATGAGTGAGTGCCAAGAGATGTTGGAACAAGTATCAAAGAAGTTCAAAAAAGGCGAAAGATAGGTATCTTTTAAAATAAGTACCTGACCTAAAAATTTGGAAATTGGTAAAAATCTAGTTAGGTACAAAGGAGGAAGAAGGGCAACCTCACARAGCATAGCCTAAGGCTTAGAGTTAGAACTGAGAAAAAACAGTCAGGAGACAGAGAACAGTTCAGTGTAACCAAAATAGCAAATTTCTACTGGCTAAGTCTTTGTTTTTGGAAAGCTTTGAATGTCCCATTGAAGAGTTGGGATTTTTTTAAAGAGTGCATTGAATTAATTCAAGAAAAGTAATGTGATTATTTTTGTATAAAAATAGACTTTAGAGATCATTTCACTATTGTTTCTCAACAGAGAAAGAATATTGGCATTGTGGGGCAGGACAATTCTTTGATGTGTAGAATTGTCCTATAAGCTTTCCATACCTTGCAGCTTAGCACCCATCCATGAAATGTCAGGAGTGCCCCTCCCCACCCATCATTATGACAGTGAAAACAAGACCAAAAAAAAAAAAAATCCAAAGCAAAACAAAAAGCCCTATGTTAGTCAGGATTCCTCAAAGAAACGGAATTGATAAAAGAGATGGAKGGGTGGATGGATGGATAGATAGACAGAGGAAATGACAGAGGAAATGAGAAGTGACTTATTATATTAATTGGTTAATACTATTATGAACTGAGTAGTCCCATGAAATGCTAAATAAACAATGGGAAACCAAGAAAACTAGAAGCATACSTCAGTTCAAATCTAAAGGCTAAACATCTTTTGAATTATTCTTTAACTCACCTGGAAATTTTCCAGGCAAATTCCAGAATATAGTTATCAGGMATATAGGACTTATGCATAAAAAGATCATTATTTACCACTTTCACTTGCACTTTAATGCAGTGACATATCTGCCTGCAATTGTATTAAAGAACCAACAGCTGGACGCAGAGATGCTCGCCTGTAATCCCAGAGGTTCGGGAGGCTGAGACAGGAGGAGTACAAGTTCAAGGCCAGCCTCAGAAATTTAGCAAGGTTTTAAGCAACTTAGCAAGACCCAGTCTCAAAATAAAAAGGGCTAGGGATGTGACTCAGAGGGTAAATGCCCCTGGTAGAGGTTGGGAGAGGCTCTCCTAATAACTTCCAAATGGAATTGAACGTAGATAAATGCAAAGATCAGTTTCACTTCTTTTACTATCTTATCTTGGTTGGGTTAGAAAATCACTAGTTAGAAAATTTCTGGAAGCTATACACAGAAAAACTCAACAAAGATTGCTTAAGGAAAATTCAAGGGTCTGGAAGGAGGGAGAAACATTTCACTGCGAAACAGAAATCATCTTTAGTTATTCTTTGCCATGAGTTTCTTGGACATCAAAAGTCATTTCGCTGGCTCAGCTGATATGGAGATGTCATTCAAGGTGCCTGCCTGTAAGGAAAATAATTTCTACATTACTTTCTAAAATTAGTAAATGCTCTCTTAATCCTTTATAATCTACACTTAATTATACGTTTTCTTGGAAATTTATAAAATTCATACACCTTTGAATATAAACTTTCTTAATTATAAACAATATGTACTGGTTACATAAAACTTTAAAGAACTTGGAAGAACGTTTWAAAAATGAGCATAATTCCCCATCTGGAAGCACTCCTTGGTGCACATAGAAGGAAAAACTTTGATCATATTGTCTACGGTTCTGAATCCTACTTTACCTTTACAGTATACCTTATAGATAATTTCCATGTCATTAAAATTATTCCATGAATTCTACTATGGTTCTACTATCATTTAACTCAAAATTTTGTACATTATGTTTGTTGTCRCTTTTGACATTATAGAAATACTGAACAACTCAAAGGTAGATCTCTCTTTTGTTTCCTTAATTCTGAAAACTTTGTTAACAAACAAACAAAAAAAAACTTAAGATGGTGTTCATTCATTATTTTGGCCTTTCCTCTCAACTGGTTGATTTTTTTTTAATTTAGGTCTCCAGTGTTCTCAGAGGAGCATTAACTGATTGTTAACCCAATCAGTCTAAATTCTGTAATTTTTAATCATGACTTTTAAAAAATAYCAATATACACTTGCAAATTGCAATGCTGAAGAGAAGCTTGTGTACTAGCCACTGAAAACTATTTTCTTAGGATATATATTCTGTTTTGCAAT